CTGCAACTACTAATTTTTGATGATACATTTGTTATTTTCCTACATTCTCTTAGAACACAATTCAGTCTCTTACAACCACCCACCCATCCCAATCCCCTCTTTCTCCTTGGAGGTAATTGGTTCAATATATGTTCTTCTAGTTCTTTCCCCATACCTTTTTGATGCAGATGTTTGTATCCTTAAAATGTTTGTGTTGGCTTATTTTTGTGAAGTTGTATGATATTCTGTTGTATGAGCATTTCATAATTTATCTGTTGTCATCAGCATGAGTGTTTAGGTGGTTTTCAGTTACTAGCTATTTTGGATAACACTACTGTGAACATTTTTGTATGTTTCTTTTGGTGGACATCAGCTGTCATTTCTGTTAGGCATATACCAGGATCTTTCAGCCTCAGCACTGTTGACATTTTGGACTGAATAATTCTTCATTGTGGAGGGACGTCCTGGGCACTGTGGGATGATGAGCAGCACTCCTGGCTTTATCTGTGTAGGTACCCGTAGCACTGCCCCGCTGTGACAGCCGTAAATGGCTCCAGACACTGTCAGATGTCCCCTGGGGGGCAAAATCTCCCACCCACCCATGAGAACCACTGGGCATATACTTACGAGTGACATTGTTGAGTCACTGTATACATACATTTAAATTTAGTACATAGTCTCAGTTTTCAAAAGTGGTGAAATGACTTTATATTCCCAGTGTCAGGAATGGAGAGTTACATTTACCCTACATCCTTTTTTATTTTCATGGAAAAGAGGTTTTCCATTTTTCAAAAAATTGTACCACGGTGGTTGATGCAGGTGTGTTGTGTAGGCTTTTGCAGCATTGCCCTCACCATGTACTCATTGGACAGTAGCACAACCCCATGAGAAGGATGGTTGGCTCTACATCTTTGTATTGGCATTACAATACTGACAAACTTGTATTGGCCATTCTCCTGGTGATGCTCATTTCAGGTATCCATTGTTTATTTCTTTTTTTTTTTTTTGGAGACGGAGTTTTGCTCTTGTTACCCAGGCTGGAGTGCAATGGTGCGATCTCGGCTCACTGCAGCCTCCGCCTCCTGGGT